GCTGGGGTTGGCTCTGCCGCTGCCCCGCCCCCCGGCCCGCCGCGGCCTCCCGCCACAGCGCCCCCTGCGTCCGGGCCCGGCATGGCGCCAACGCGACCCTGCTGCACCCGGCTAGCCCCTTCTGCAGTAGCCGGATGGATGCGCCCGTGGGGGCTCTCAGGGCTCCTTCTGCAATCAGAGCATTGGTGAGGAGCCCGCGGTGCCAGGCACCGTGCCAGGCGCCGAGATTCAGGTGATGGCCCAACCTGTAACTCCGAGGCCGGGCTTGCCCACTTTGGGGCGCGCAGGCGGGCAGGGGTGGTACACACTTTGCTTTGAAAGTTCAAGTGTCTAAAGGGGGTGTGTAGCACATCCTCTGGCCTCTCTTGCCAGCTGGGCGCAGACCCAGGGCCAACCCTGGGTTCGTAAATATCCCCTAAAGGAGGGTCATGACTGAGGGGAATTCTGGGTGTATTCATTTTCTACTGCTGGAGAACAAATTAGTACAGTCTTAAAGTTTAAAGCGTCAGGCCTAGCCTCATGGAGGTGGCCCATGCTTATAATCCCAACATTCTGGAGGCTGAGGCAGGAGGATGAGGGTTCAAGGCCAGCCTGGGCTACATAGGGAGTTTGCACCCAGCCCCCGCCCCCACACACACCTATCTCATAGGCCCCAGTCAGGAGGGTTCAAGGCCAGCCTGAGATACATAGGGAGTTTGCACCCAGCCTGAGACACACACACACACACACACACACACACACACACCTATCTCATAGGCCCCAGTCAGGAGTCTAGAAATCGTTCAGTGTCACAAGGCTGCTAAGGCTGGGACAAACAGGCTGCATTCTTCTCTGGAGACTCAAATGGGGACCAGTCCACTTGCAAGCCATTCAAGTTACTGGCTGAATTTCTTTCATGTGACTGTGACTGGAGGCCTCGAATTTTTGCTGTTATCTCCAGTCTGCTAAAACAGAATTTGGTTTGGTTTTGTGTTGCTGAGAATCCAACCCAGGGCCTCACATGCTAGGCAAGTACTCTACCACTGGGCTACTTCCCCAGGCTCTAAGACAGAACTTTTTAAAGCAAAGATTTTTTAA